GTTTAGGGTTTAGGGCTCTTTAGGGCTTAGTTTCTAGGGTATAGGCTATAGGGTTTAGGTGCTTGGGCTTTATGCTGAAGGACCTTATCGTTGAGTACTTGGGTGCATCAAGCTTAAGTAAGCAGAATGACCTGAATGCCCGACGGGCCCTTTTTTTTTGTTTCGGGCTGAGGTTTAGGATGTATTCAGGGCCAAAGGTCATGCCACCATGGAGAAAACCCGATGAGCCCCCCCGAGTCTCGTTGCCAATCTTAGGTGCCGTTTGGCCGCCGATGTGGGCTATGGAAAGGTGGCCCTCGTCCACAGCTCCCACGCGAAACTTCCCGATCTGCAGGCAGTGTTGGGCTTGTAGAAAACACTTACCTTTAACTCACTTTACCTACCGTTTAGCAGCCATTACCCCTAATTAGTAGGAAGAACCCACAAAACTGTAGGTAATGAGAGTCCCAAGTACTCCTTTCCGTATCGCGGCGCAGTCTTGCGACATGCACGGTGGGGCTTAGGGTTCGAGAAGGTTGAGGAATTTGGGCTTGTGAGGCTTAGGGCTGTAGGGAGCTGTAGTATAGGGGCCTTAATGATTACCTATACTAGTTTGGGGGTTCCTTATTAGAATTCTAGTAAAATATACCCCAAAAACCCTATTCTAAATGTTAAGGCCTCGACATTAGAGTCTTACGGTTCAGTGTTCTGGGGCTTCAGGGTTCATGGTGCGGGGTTCAGGGCAAAGGGGTTGGGGTTGAGCATCCTGACTTGGCGAGCGATTTGGGTTTATAGGTTTAGGAGTTTAGGGATGTAGCTTCCTAAACCCCAAACCCGGATTTATAGGCTTAGGAGTTTAGGGATGTAGCTCCCTAAACCCTAAACTCTAACCCTAGGAGTCCCCGGGGCTAGAGACTTAGCCAGGGAGGGATCAAGGAGATCCATCCCCACTCCCAAAAACACCCCCAGCCAGTTCAAAGACCTACACACCCTCCAAACAATCGTACAGACTCCTATAAACAAAATCTCCTCCAAAGCCTTGCTATAGAAGTGGGGATGCGCAAAACCGGGACCCTGTATAACCTCATGAAAAGCAAACCTCCGAAGTGCCCGTGCGTGCCGGAAGCCTTACAAACGCCACCAGAAGCGCTGCAATCCTTACAGGGTCCTTCTGAACACCCCCTTCCAAAATCCCTATTTAGAGCCGGCCTGAATGTACTGGAAGCCATATAACAACCGTGAGAACCGTAGTACAAAGCACTACACGCCATAAAGACCCTGTGTGGAGTGCTCCTACAAAAAAACCCTATTGTAGAACTCCTGAGAGGTGCCTGGATGCACTGGGAGCCCTTTACACACCATCTGATTCTGATTTAGTGTTTTATAGGGTTTAGGAACCCCTTACCCCCCTTCAACCCTAAACCCCTACCCCCTTTAACCCCCCGGTCAATCCTGAACCCTAAGCCTCTCCCCCGCACCCCAAACCTCAACCCTATTCCACCACCTAAACCCCAATAAAGCCCCCTGAAAGGCCTGGATGAACTGGAAGCCGAAGCTGATGCCCTGCGCCGCCCCGATGGACCTGCCCCAGGCGCCCCAGTCCTGAGCAAATACCCAGCGCCCAGTGTGGGGCGGGGTTTAGGGTCTAGGGTTTAAGATATGGGATCAGTCGCAGAAAATGAGGGGCGGATTTGAGATACGACTTCAACCGCCGTTGCCGGGCCTACTGAGGGGCCGGGTTCAAAATATGAGATCAAGCGCCATCGATCAACGACGGGGTGGGTTTAAGATGTGAGCTGAACCGCTATCGCCTCGTGAGGGGACCAACCGCCATCGCCTAATGAAGGGGCGGTTCAAAACCTGGAAAGACCTAGGGTCATCGTCTCACGATGAGGTCGGTTGTTTTTTATGAGCTTAAGCGCCATGACTTGATGAGGGGGACGAGTTTAAAATATGGCAGCAGCCGCGGCGTTTTCAACATCGAACGGTTGAAGCTTTCGAACTCACAGCTCGGTGGACCGTCAAACTTTCGAACTCGGCGCGTTTCTGACCTTCAAACTTGTTGAAATCTCCCAACCCTCGAACTCTCGAACTTTCATGCCGTTCAACCGTTCAAGCTCCTCAACTTTCAATGACTGAAACTTTCGAGTCCACCGCAGCGCCCAGCCGCGGACCAAAACTGAAGCCAACTTTGCAGACTCCAAACTTTCGAACTGGCGAACTCTTAAATTTTCGAAACTGTGGAACCGTCAAACCCGAAACTTTCGAAAATGTCAAACCTGGAACTCTCAAAATGTCAATTCTTCAGCCTCTCAGTTTTGAGGGCCGTCCACGATTGAAATTGCCGACATTGAATTTTTCAGAGTTTGAAACTTTCCAAATTTCACAGCACCTTCCAAACCTTCAAACCTTCCAAAGATTGAGATCTTCAACCCTTCAAACTCTCAAACCTTCGAGATCGAAGGACCTGCTCGGGACACCCCTAGACCCGATAACTAAACCCTAAACCCTCGCGACCCTAAACCCTAAACCCCTCAAAAAAAACAGCACAAAACGAATGCATCATTTCAAGGATTTTGGGCGCTCCAAGGCCATGACAAACCCGTGAACAACTATCAATACTGTTCGTAATATCAGTATTATTGGTATTATTACCATTATGACTATTATTTGTTATTCTTACGAATTGTTTTGATTGTTATTGGTATTGTTGTTGCATTTTGGGGGAAGGCCCTGGCTGCGCCTCTGGGTGCCTGGTGTGGGGCTGCAGGCTTTTGCTGCTGAAGGGTTCAATCCTGACTAAGCGGAGTGGTCATTCGCCTTGTTGGGGGGGGGGGGGCTGGGGAGTTTCAGGTCTAGAACAAATCCCCATCTGGAAGCTCCAGCTAAGACTCCCTGCGCGGCCCTGGATGCAACGTGCCATCGTTGCGGAAGATCTGCGCCGTTTGCCCATCCTGCCGAGAAGCCCAAGGCGAAATCCCGACTCCGAGACCTCCTCTGGTCCGCTACCAGAAACGCGATAATGCGATGCGGCACTACTATGTGTACTACTAGACTACCATCATACTATCATACTATAAATTCTACAATGCAGTTAAGGGCGTAGGATCTTGGATTGAGAGTGCTTTCAAGCCAAAACCCGAAACCTCGCAACCCTACACTCGCGCCTCAAGGACTGAACGCAACACGATAACACAGCAATACTAGAATACCATAACACTATAACAGACCATAATACTAGAAGGCAATGCTAGTACTATAGTACGAGAATACCAAGATACAAGTACTACAATGCTATCAAACTACAAAGCGAGTGTCCTTATGTGAGATGGTGAAGTGGTTGTCGTCAATGGCGGCCAGGCGCCAGTGACCCAGCTGAATGAAGCGGTCCCCCATGGGAAGATTATAACACGCGGACGCCGAGGATGTGGTGTGAACCTCGACCGAGAGGCTGATGCTTCACAAGCAACCATAATATGATTTTAGTCAACTACTACAACATATATCTACTACTCTTCCAATCATCTAGACTTCTCCCGTCATAATCTAACCACCCCCAAACAAAAACAAAAACAAAAGCCCTATTGAGTCGACCCTCGGGCGCATCATCACTGAGCCTTCCCGCAAGAATGATGTGGACATGATTTTCTCCCGGCTGTTTTTTGTCCGGCCCTCTGGCAAAATACAACATGCAGCATGCTTGCACGTGTCAAGTGCCGCAGGTTGTGCTTGGGCTTATGGCTTGAAGATTGGAGCCCATAATGACCGACATCTGCGACAGATATGGTGTTGATGCCGCTGTTGCGGCTGCTGCTGCTGCAGAAAGGAATCAGATCCCAGCATTTTACTATGTAGCGGGGCACGCTTGGCAAATGCACGGGAAATCTGCTAGCAAAAACGCGCAGATGGCCTCAGCTCTCTCCACAAGTTTGGTGCTACATTCAACAAAGACACTCGATGAACACTCTGACCACTGCAACTGCAAAGCTACCTAGACCCTGTATTGGAGTTGGTGCATTTTGAAGGTCTGATTAGTTTGGAAGGGGGGCGGGTGGGGGTTGGTGCGGCCCCCTGCAAACAAAACAAACCTTGACTGAATAGTGGTGACTTTTCCGGATGCAGGCTCCGGATTAGCAGAAATTTGTACTGGTAGTAATTATCGTAAGAGCAAGCGTAGGAGTACGAGTGATAGCAGTATTCAGGTTGTGGTGGCGTCTCAATACGCGCAATAGTGATGGCAACAGCAGCAGCAATAGCAATGGCAATAATTAGTACTCGTAGAAGTGATAGTAATGGTACTGGTGGCAGTGACAGTAACGCAAGAATAAGCTTGACAGTAATTATAGCAGCAGTAGTAAGTAGGGCAATAGCAATAGCAATAGACGCAGAAGACCGCTACCGGCTGGACAATGGTTGCATTGATGGGTATCCCTGCAACCAGCCGGAAATAAAATCTGTACTTCGGGAGAACTTTTCCCCCCAACACGATGAGATTTCGAACTTTGCACTACAGGGAGTCACCACGCTACTCTTACATTAGGGGACTTGGTCATTGTCAAGAGCACCCTGTTTAACAACATGTTGCAACTTGGTGTCTTCCTCCCTTGCCTTGTTGAAGGGTTGGGTCTCTCAGCCATAGCGAACATGAAGATCAATGCAGTCGACTGACGGGACCTATGGGTGTGCATCCTCATCATCATCGTCAACATCGTCATCATTAAAACATACTGAAAGGTTCGACTGTAGCCCGAGTATTGGCAGGCCGATGGTACTACAATGGCAAGTGTACTTCAGCTCAAGGCTAAGACTGATTCGAGTGGCTTAGCTGGCTGTGCAAGGTCCGGCTAGGATTTGCCTGCTCAAACCCATTTAAATGCCGATGGCAGCACGTTCTAACAGACAATACAAGCCCGACCATCCGAAACCCTAACCACGTTAACCGAAACATGGCTTAAAAGGGGTATATTTTAGCCTACTTGAACTCGAGAACCCCGCTGAAAAAGATGGATAACCATTTAAGCCTCTATTCACCAGGGAACATGCTCGGCAATCTGGGCTGCGGGGAGGATGGTCACCATGGGTGGCGGAGGTCGGCCGGCGAACTTGCAACCCAGCTCCTCGGTTTCTGATGCTTCAGGTGTCATATCGGGGCCCATACGGAATAAGTTACATCGAAAGCTGTGGGGAAGTGCGCAGGGTTGTGGAAATTATGTGCACATTCTATTCTATTGCTAGGAGAAAAGGATTCGGCTGCCAGCTTTTCGCCCTAATGTCTGGGAACAGGCTGAGAAGAGAGCGTCAGGCTTCAGGTGGTGGTCACCTCAGAACATATTATGGAGTCTCCTTGCTACGATAGTGACAAACGATCTTTCAAAAAAAACAATGACCATCATTTGCAATACTAAAAGCATAATACTAGTTAGCATATTAATAATAACAGTACGTATAATACTAATCGTATTTAATTCATAATACTAATAAAGTGCATCCCGGGCTCTGCGGCACAAGCAGCCGTATCGAAGCCCGGGGTTGTGAAGACCTCTTTGCAGTACCTTCGCAGCCCCTCTTCTGGGGGTTAGCGCGACCTTACGGGTCAGGGTTCATTAGGGTTTAGGGTTTAAAGTCGGCATCCCATAATAAGTAAGTCTAAACCCCATAGCACGTAACGCTATAGCCCAAAAAACAATCCAACAACCTGCGGCCCTATTGCCCCAAACTCCTGAACCCTGAAACGCGCCCCCACAAACCCAAAACCCTACAGCCCAATAAACAACCTGAGAACCCTGCAACAACGTGAATTTTTCGGGCTTGCCAGAGCGTAACTATTCAGGAGCTGCAAGACTAAACCCTGACATAACTTCATCAACCCTACGAAATCAAATTGAAGCAATCCAGAATATAAGACAAAGACCCCATGAAGACAAGCAAATCTCAAAACATCCTCTATGTGAACTCGTTCCCACATCCCCCCTCAACCCTAAACCCTAAACCCTGAACCTATAAGCCCTAAACCCTAAAACGTTAAACCCTAAACGCTGAACCCTAAACCCTAAAACCCTAAACCCTACACCCATTTTTCCACGCCCTGGGGGCAGCTTCGTGGGGCCCATGAGCTGCACGGAGGGCGTGGTGAAGTCCAAATTGAGACTCGGGATGAGGCCCGCGATGGCTCCTTTAAGGAGGCTTTTTGGGGGTTTATAGGGTTTAGGGCTTATAGGGTTTATAGGGTCTAAATAGGGTTTAGGGTTTTGGGGTCTTGGGTTCGGGTTTTGGAGTGTGGGGTTTTGGGCTTCAGGGTTTAGAGGTTGTTAACGAACTGCTGTGGAGGGTCTGATGCCTGCTTTGGGCTGGCGTTTTGCTTGGTCTGTTGGACTTCATGGGCCTGAAGACTTCAGTATTACCATTGCTGCTACTCTCTGTCTCTCTCACATACATACATAGGCTTACTCTTTACTGTTGATAACATGCTACTAGGCAAGATAGTAACAGCAGCCATCACAGTTCGCACTTTGCTGAGGACCCTCTCGGAATAGTCTCTCGGCAACATTCCGTTTATGAGGAGATTGCGGCTTGGGGAGCCAGGGAGTTGGCTGTGACCGCACAGCACATGGCCAAGTTCTCCGATTCTACTCTCAAACCCCTAAACCCTAAAACCATGAATCATCCTAAACCCCTGAACCCCTAAACACCTAAGAGCCCTAAGAGCCCTCAACTCTGGGCCCTTCGGAGCTCCGGCGGCCGTGTGAGCCGCATCCATGACAAAATTCGTCACCGCACCGGCCTTGTAGATGTTTGGGGCTTAGGAGTTTAGGGTTTATGAGTTGAGGGTTGGGGGTTTGGATGTTTAGGGGTTTCAGGGGTTTAGGGGTTTAGGACCAGGGTTTGGTGGAGTCTTGGGCTTGTGGCTTCAAGGCTTCAAGGGGCTTGTGGAGCCTGGGTTTTGTGGCGTCAAGTCTTCACAAGAGTAAGGTTTAGGGTTTAGGGGCAAGAACTCCCCGTAATGACCGGGGGCCAGGGCACCTTCAATCAATACGTACAAAGACATCTACAAAACAGGCCCCTGAAACCAAGCGCCTGCATTACTTATAGAACTCCTGTAGCAACCCTGCGTAATCCCCGAAGCCCAGAGCTCAAAACCCCCGAGACGATGACCCTGCGG